CTATTTGTGTGAAAAAAAGGAAAAAAAAATTTCATATTGGTACAGTGTTGCTGACCGTGCAACTGTCATTCAAAGTGCAACAGCGCTGAAAGCTGAAATTTGGCCAGGGCAGGAAGGGAGTAAAAGTGCCTGGTAATCAAGTGGTTAACGAATGTAAAAAATAGTATCCAGTTTAGAGTAGTCTCTACCAGGGGCGGACTGACAACTCATGGGGCCCCCGGGCAATAGGGGATCATGGGGCCCCTGTGTCCTTGCCCAAACTCAAAAAAGCCTATGAAAAAGGTACTAGGGGCATCTCATGGGGCCCCCTACTGACCTCGGGTCCTCGGGCAGCGCCCAAGTTTCCAAATGGTCAGTCCGCCCCTGGTCTCTACCTTTTTGGATCATTTCTTACAACAGTAATGCATAGAAACCTAAATATGGAAACAAGGAAATCATTGGGGTTGATTTACCTAAAGCATAACTAAAGGAAAATTATGTTTTAAGATTTGCATGGAGTGGAGATGGATTAGAAAACCTGTCAGGTTTTTATTGCTGTCTGTACCCCCATTAGGGAGAGTCACCCTCTCTATTTATCATATTTACCATAATCATTGAAAGTGCAAGTAACAGAAAATTCCAAATTTCGGTTGTCCCCAGAACAGTAATAAAGGGGAAATTTTCCAATGGAGACACTAGCTCTGTTGACCTGGGGGGTCCCAAGGGATTTCTTTAATTTGGAGGCAGGGGCAGACTGACCATTTGGAAACTCGGGCACTGCCCGAGGGCCCGGGGTCAGTAGGGGGCCCCATGAGATGCCCCTGGTACTTTTTTCATAGGCTTTTTTGAGTTTGGGCAAAGACACAGGGGCCCCATGATCCCCTATTGTCTGGAGGCCCCATGAGTTGTCAGTCCGCCCCTGTTTGCAGGAATTTCCTCTCCCTTCCTGTTTTGGCCATGGGATGGGAAGTGAAGGGAAATCTCCCCAATGGGACACTGATGAAAAAATAAATTATTATTATTATTATTCAGTGTTTATATAGCGCCAAAAGGTTTGCTCAGCGCTGTACATTAAAGTAAATAAATTAATTAATAAAACCTTAAAGGGATTATAACCCTCCCTTACTGTATCCAAAATGAAAAAAAAGTTTTGCCTACAGTTTTACTTTAGTGAAAATAGACTGTGCAATTTGCTAGTTGCTCCAGAGCTTAGTAAATGGGGTAAACCTTCACTTTACAAAGAATACCCAATCACTTGCAAGGAAAAAAATAGCATTTTTGCTTGCACATGATTGGATGACGGAAGTTAGCAGAGGTCCCCCTAATTTACTAAGTTCTGGAGTAACTTCACTTGCAAAGTGCTCAGTCTATGTGCCTTTAGTAAATCCACCCCATTACATGTAGTAAAATCTATTTTCTCCGGCCCTTTCGCCAGATTTTCCAAGACTTTTTTGTGCATATACAAGCATATACATCATTTGCTGCATAAACCTCCCAATCACTCCAAACATAATACAATGAACATGCATATCACAATGGTCTAATCCCTAGAACATATTTTTTATGTAGTGGGGATACTTCCCCACTTCCCGCTGATATCATTGATCTTTTTTAGCTTTCTATAAGGGGGTAATTCCTCCCACTGACCATCACACTAATGTATCATGAGTTGTAAATATAGTAATTAGACTGGAAAGTTCCTGTGTTGAAAAGGTTGAGAAAGGCTGATTGAAAGTGTAATTAAAGGCAAAACTTTATTTTTCATTTTGGATAGAGTAATGGAGGGTTAGAACCCATATCAGATTTTTTTTGCCATCTGTGTCCCATTGGGGAAATTTCCCTTCCATTCCTGCCCCATAGCCAAAACAGGAAATCCCTGACATTACAGGAGTCCCTTGGGGACCCCCAGGTCACCAGAACTAGTGTCCCCATTGGAAGATTTCCCCCCCCTTTTACTTTCAATGATAATGCTAAACAGAGACAAATACAGAGGGTGAATCTCCCTAATGGGGCAGACAGCAATAAAAACTGAATAGGTGTTCTAATAACTCTCCACTCTATCCAAAACTAAAAGAAAGTGTTTCTTTAGTTATACTTTAATTAAATACAAAATATCTCTAGAAATGTCAAATACTGAATGAAAATAGTATAAAAAATCACACACATATATAAATATCCTTCTTCTAATAAAAAGACAACTTATAGAAGAAAGGTATTTATATGTGTGGGATTTTTGATACAATTTTCATTCAATATTTGACATTTATAGAAACATTTTGTATTTGCCTAATTAAAGTGGAGTTCCAGCGAAAATGAAAAATAAATACAAGTCAGCAGCTACAAAACTGTAGTTGCTGACTTTTAAAAAATGGACACTTACCTGTCCCTCAATCCTGCAGTGTCCCCCCCGCAGCCCATTTCACCTGTGTTTCCAGCGCCGGCATCTTCAGTGTGGGCACCTGGCTTTGACAGCCCACGGCTTCACAGCCAGGTGCCCACTGCGCATGCGTGAGTAGCGCTGCTCTTTGTGAATGGTCCCATAGTCTTCTGTTTTATTTTTTGCACTATAAACAAAAAAAGAGCAAAAAATTTGAAAAAAAAAAAGTTTTCTTTGTTTCTATTATAAAATTTTGCAAACAGATAATTTTTCTCCTTCACTGATGTGCGTTGATGAAGCTGCACTGATAGCTGCTGATGGGCACTGATAGGCAGCACTGATGAGGTAGCACGGATAGGTGGCACTGATGGGCGCCACTGATGGGCACTGATAGGCGGCACTGATAGGTGGCACTGATCAGCTGGCACTAATGATGGGCACTGGTAGTCAGCACTACTGGGCACTGACTGGCAGCACTGCTGGGCACTGATGGGTGGCACTGCTGGGCTGCACTGATGGGCACTGGAGGGTGGCACTGGTGGGCACTGATGGGCACAGGTGGGTGGCATTGCTAGGCACTGCTGGGCACAGGTGGGCGGCACTGCTGGGCACTTGTGGGCGTTACTGGTGGGTGGCACTGCTGGGCACCAATCATCAGGGCACTGATCATCAGTGCCCTGATGATCGATGCCGATCCCTCCTCTGACAACTGCCAATTCTCAGCAGTACTTTCCTCAGGCTGTGACAGCTTGAGGAAAGTGCAACCGATAACCGGCCATTGCATTTCCCGGTGATCAGTGCATCATTGGACACAGCTGATCACGTGGTAAAAGGCTGCTGTGATTGGTCTTTTACCACATCACCTGATCAGCTGTGTCCGTAGGACACAGCGATCATGGAGATCACCGGGTGCGTGCCACCGGGGGTGTGCAGGAGAGTGTGTTCTGAGAGGACGTCATATGACGCCCTTCCAGAACTGGCCGGCTGCAGTGAAGCCGTCATTCGGCTATCTGCTGTCGGGAAGTGGTTAAAGCAGAACTTCCCCTTTTGGGTGGAGGTCTGCTTTAACTTAGTTGTTTTTCATACACCATGTGTATCTTATGAAAGCAGCTTCCCTTTGGTTGATATTCCAGTCACCTTTTTTCTTTTGTATTAATACATACGCTGTATAAACTGCACTAACTTACTGAGTTGGCATATTTATACAGTTTAAACCATTTTACCTCTCTATTAACAATAAACACTGACAGGGGTTCTACTTCTTCTCCACTGTATCCATCCCACTGGATATCGCATGAGATAAAATACCGCATGGTTTCTTGAGATAAATACCACGTATTTCTCAGAAATACTGCATACGGTATTTTAGAAGCGTTTTTTCTGTGAAAGCTAAAAAGTTTAGAAAAATGCTAAGCGGTATTTTACTGTATTTCTTAAAGTGATAGATACCGCTTTGTGAATGGAGCCCATTATGAATTAGGGATGGACAAATCTGCTAGGGTTGAATTCACCAAGGTTTGGGCGAATCATGCTTGACATTTTTGCAATGCAAACTTAGTGGTATATCCTCTCTGAAGTCTACATGATGGAGGGGGAAGAGTCCTGTCAGTAAATTTTGCCCGTTTTTAGGACTATTAGGCCAACTGCTATAAAAAGGCATGGGAAGCTCGGCACTGCCATATGGGACAAGCACCAATGGAAACAATTTATTACAAAACACTGTACAGTGAGAAGAGGGTCCTTTAATTTGACTTTGAGGGCAACATTTAAAAAAATACACAAATGATTTGAATAACATGCTTGGGGGATCGTACATGGTGATATGGAACGGACAATCTCAGCTCCAGCATACACTAGCAGCACATATTTAAGTGTGGAATGTATTTATCATTTTACAATTAGCTTGGCTTACACAGCAGCAGAACCCCAATCTGATTTGTTTCAGTTTGAAAAAAATAAATTTTTGTCATGTAGTTTAGCCGGGACACAAGCTTTTTCATCAACCGGCTGATAGAAATTGGTTAGTAGTTCACTTAGGCTGTGCCTGTTTGTTGCTGATGCAAAATTGTCCTGTTACTGGCCAATTTCTATCAAACTCTCATTAAAGTGACTGTAAGCCTAAATTTTTAAATTTTTTAAAAAGCTGCTCCTCTTCTCAGGTCCCCCACTGGTGCTCCTCGCTCATCCCTCCTGCCGAGTGCCCTCATAGCACGCTGCTTGCTATGGGGGCACTTGTGCAAGCTTGTTCCCGATCCGGCTCTGTGTGTCCATTGGCACACAGAGCGCTGCTCGTCCCTGTTCCCTGCTCTCTCCTCCATGGCTGTGATTGACAGCAGCAGGAGCCAATGGGGAGCCTGTGAGGAGGAGATCAGGCTCAGGTAAGTATAAGGGGGGAGGGGCGGGGGCTAGGGGGCGTGCAGAACACAGAAGGTTTTTACCTTAATGCATAGAACAGGGGCGGACTGACCATTTGGAAATGCGGGCACCGCCCGAGGGCCTGGGGTCAGTAGGGGGCCCCATGAGATGCCCCTGGTACCTTTCATAGGTTTTTTTGGGGTGTGGTTTGAGTGTGGGTGAGGACACAGGGGCCCCATGATCCCCAATTGCCCAGGGGCCCCATGAGTTGTCAGTCTGCCCCTGGCATAGGATACATTAACCACTTCCCGTCGGCCCATGTATATAAACGGCCAGATGGGAGCAGTGCAGGGGTGGGTGGCCATTTATAAACAACCTCTCTGCCCCCTGCTTGTGCTCGCTCCCTGTGTCCTCCAGACACAGTGGAACACCGATCGTCGTACGGCACCTCTGTGTGAGGTCCTGATCATGTGATCACTGATTGGCCAATCAGTGATCATATGCAGAGTAGTAAGCAAGATGTCACTTCTGACATCATTGCTTACTATGTGTGAAATCTGTGAATGATCACAGAGATCACATGGTACAAGGCTATTCACAACAGCCTTGTACCCTGTGACAAGCTGTGACCAATCACAGCTCTCACAGTATTTCTCAATGGCTGCAAGAATGCAGCCAGAGTGAAGGATAAACTATTGCATTTACAGCCTTTATGAGTGTAAAAGCAATCAGTGTAGAAAGAAAAACAAAAACTCTTCATAACCCCCCACAAGTAGTAGAGTGTCGCTATGGTGACACTGTACTGCTAGGGTGACAGTATGTAAAAAAGCAAAACAAAAACATAAATAATAATATAAAAAAATAGAATAAAAATGTAAAAAAAATTTTGAAAAATTATAATTTTTGGTTATAAACTAATTTAGGTTATTTTTTTTTTTTGCTAAAAAGATAACTGAAGAAATTTTGGCCAAGATGTATGAAGAAGATTATTTATTTGCAAATTTTATAAAAAAAAACACTTTTTTTCAAAATTTTTGGACTTTTTCATTTATATAGCAAAAATACCAGTGGTGAATAAATGCCACCAAAATAAAGTTTTATCTGTCTCAAAGTAATGTTCATACCTCCAGTAATGTTGTATACCTTATCCAGTGCAGAAAATGCAGCAAAGGATCTTATGTTGGCGAAACAGGACAGAATTTGCAAACAAGGATGAATCTGCACAGACATACCATCAAGGAACATAAAGAAGGTGACCTCTGCACACCTGTAGGACACCATTTCACACAACCAGGCCACAATATGGAGGACCTCAATATTTTAGTTCTGAAAGGAAAATTTAAATCCATCCAGGAAAGAAAAACATTTGAACTAAGAATGATAATTCTATTTGACACAAAAGATAACGGCCTTAATTTGGACATGGGATTCCTCAACCACTATCCGACAGCTTTATGACCATCTATTAGCTAAAGCTTGACCCCGTCTGTGTGAGTGTAGTATCCCCCCCCTCCCCCCTCGCTTTTGATGTATCTTATCTGTAGCCCTTTTTTTTTTTTTTTTTTTTTCTCCATCCCTTCTAACATTCTGCTTAAACTTTGTGATTTGTAATAGTACTGCTTAGACTTTGAAGAAGGGGACATACCCCGAAAGCTTGTCCTCAAAATTGTATGTTAGTGCAAATAAAAAAAGTATCACGGACAGTACTCAATTGTATCCGCCTCAAAAAAATGCGAAAACGTGTTGTTTGACCGCGCAATTGTCATTCAAAGTGTGACAGCGCTGAAAGCTGAAAATTGGCCTGGGTAGGAAGGGGGCGAAAGTGTCCAGACTGGAAGTGGTTAAGGGGAAATAACCTTCTAACATTACAACCACTTTAGGAATTAAGAGACTGCATGAGAGAGAATGGGCCAAAATGTACTTGACAAAAAAGTATTGGCAAGTGTTTTATTACTAAAATTAAGAGATTGCAAATAATGCAAATATAGGCCCAAGCACAGGCAGGTTCTTTACTACAATGATTCAAGCTAAAATCCAGGTATGCATATTTGTGCATGGTTACATTGGTCCAGCTTGGGCCAATGTTAGTATGCTCGTGTCATACCTTGCAGATCCCATTCTGAATGTTGGAACCACTGAAGTAGACACCACTACTACAGTGATCGCTAGTAAATTCCAGATTCTGTGCTGAGCACTTGCCCTTCCGCTTAGGCAACACAGGAGGTTGCTCGCTTGGCTAGGGTGCCATTCAGAGAACATTTTGCAATCAATCTCATTTTCAAAGATTGCAAAGCATTCTATGACTAGTCAATCAAAGAACACTTTGCATTCATTAAGAAAATGCATGGTGCCTGTGCCGAGCAATCAACCCCCTGTGTTCACTAAACAGCTGGGCATCCACTTGGCATAGGATCTGAAATCCAGCACAGGTAGTGGTGCCTACTACAGTGATCTCCAGCTTCCATGGGATCTTCCAGGTATGACACATGGATACTTACATTGGTCAATGCTGGACCAATGTAACTATGCAAATACAGTATATACCAGCATACCTGGAGTTCAGCTTTATTATACTGCAGTGGATACAGCAATGTAAATTGACCAGCAGCAGGGACGTTGTAATTGGACAATAGGCCCAACTGGTGTTGATGTGTTGCTTGGTGGTGATGTCTTGCTTTATTTTATCTATGGGGATAGAGAGATGCAGTAAATGTGAGCGATAAGTGATATAATGTAAAGGACATACCAACATAAAAAAGCCTATATATTCCCAATATAAATGAAACCTCCAAAATACTGCCGTCGCCTGAAACAAATGGGCTTTTTTAAGGGAAGCCAAAAAAAGAAGCCTTGAAGCCAAAAAAAGTTTGCTATAGACAGAACAGCTAAAAGTGACTTCTGCTTTCTTCTGCAGACTATTCCTTGTTGGCACATGTAAATGCAGCACACACAATGGGGCCCTCCCTGTACTAGTCTGAATGCTGTTCTATAGGGATTTCCAGGGGATTTACATTAGGGGGAAGCCAAATTCTCCATGTATTCATACCATGTTACATTTAATTTAAAATATTTTTTTATAAACACGAAAACTGAATTTAAAATATGCCAAGAGTTCAGCTTTAATTAAAGAAAGTTTATCATAACAGAAATAAAGTTGATCCATTGAATATCTAATTGCCTCTCGGGGGGAGCTGGAACAAATTTTTTCCCTTGCAGGAGCAAATTTGATCGTGCTTTGCTGGGTTCTTTTTCCTTCTTCAGGATCAACTGTGGGTATAGGATTATAACTTTTTTTTTTTTTTTTTTTATGGTTGAACTAGATGGACTTTTGTCTTTTTTCATCCATACTAACTATGTAAAGAGGCTAACATCACTGACCATTAGAGAACTCCTTCTGAAAATGCTAGCTGCCTGGCTTTCATTCTAAAAGTCACTAATGCAAACCACCTCTTGATCTGTGTACTTTCTGGTACAAAAAGTATTGAAGCCATCGATGTGACAGCTAGCAACCTAATATGCTCAGGAGGAGGTCAGTGATATCAACATTCCGTATATATTTCATGACGGGTTCAATACATAAATGTGCCCACAATGACTTGTAGACCTGAGTCTATGGCCGCCGCCAGCCACATTTGTAGGATCTATAAAGTTGTATTTCTATCCAGGTAATGGTATAGCCCCATGATTCAATTAGAGCTCTCTTACTGCTGCCCTGGACCCTAGCGTGGTAAAGCAGCTCAGCCAATGGTTGGAACAAATTAAATTTACTGAACTAAACAGTAAAACAGTAAGATAAGGATGAATAATGGAAGGGAACACTTTGCTGTAGTCAGAAGCACAATAGATCAATAGTAACACACAATCCTCTCACCTTACAGAGTGATGCTGTTTGTGTGTGATTTATGTTTGTAAATGTAGATGTTCTGTTCATGAATAAGAAGCAGAGCTCTAAAATAAAGAATAACCAACATCAGTGAATCCTGCTGAATGTCTTTGAAAAGAGCCATGATCAGAGTACTATGGCCACACAGATCAATGCAAACTCTTGATGTATTTTGTGTGAATCAGTAGCTAGCCCTGTTTTTGTTTTGGCTAGTGGTCAGACACCACCATTGGACAGATTCTTATTTAGTTCTGAAATTTATTTTCAGTGTCCATATATAAATACATGGCTCTTATACCTGGCCAAACAGTTAAAAGCTAAGTCCAAAAAGTAATATTTTAGTTTGAGTGAGCATGGCAGGCTGAGTCATCCCCTGGATCCTTATGTGTCTTGAATACACCAACAGTGCCCTAATTTTCAATTCTCTTCCCACCCACCTGAGTGTTCCAGTAATTCCTGTTCTTTTCTCCTATTTTAACCCCCAGCCACTGGCATTACACATATATGCGACATCACGAAGGTGCACCTTCTTCTGAGGCACTGCATATGTGTACACCACTGTTTGTGCTGGAAGAGTGCTCCCAGCACAGCAACTGAGCTGTCATTGACAGCTCCTAATCTTGTACAACAATTGGGAGATGGATTCTGTATGCACATTGACCTGCCACAAGCCTACGGCCATATGCTAAGGACCGGAGTCGATCCAGACACACCCAGAAATGAGTTGACATCTGAACAGTGAGGTCACTGTTGCTGCATCGCTAGGACTAGTGAGAGGACACTGTTGCCATTAACCCAGTAACCTGTTGCTGCTAACAGAGATTAAGCACATAGGAACTGGCCATCTAACTACCAGAATTATTTACTGCATGCAGACTTTACTGGGACTGTACTCATGTGCACCACTATAAAGACTGGGCCCCAACATTAGCTGGCTCCTGAACTAGGACTAAAGACTGCTCACTCAGACAATAGGAGAAGTTTTCCTATTGTCCAAAGTAAGAGGTACCTCTTTCAGGAGTTTTACATTTCATTACTGCCATTCATATAAAGAGAAATCTAAAGTGAATATAGCTTACTGTTTACAGAGCAGTTATCTCAGTATTAATTATCATTGCTGTTACTGTTTTCTAATGCCATTAATTATTGCTTATTTTTGTGGAGTACCTAGGTTACTCTAATTTAGCTGCATAGAACTCCATTCTATGCTGATATAGCCTAGTGAAAATATTGTCTAGTTCAGTGTTTCTCAACCGTTTTTTTTTTTCAGTCAGGGCACCCTTTAAAATTATGGACAAGCCCCAGTCACCCCATTCTAAAATGTAAAAAAACTAAACTAATAGTTTTTTCACTGCACAACATCCAAACATGTAAGAAACCGAAGAGGTGATTTATTTTTCCAAAGCAAATACACTTTTGTACACTGGTACTGACTAGTATTCCACTTTTTCTTCTCTGCCTCATTTTGTCTACCTTACTCAGCTAACGTGACCCCAGTAATGATGGTTGGTTAGGGGTAGGGGAGGGGCAAAAAAGGATGCTGTGCAAGCACCCAACATCCTCCTTATCAACCATTGATAAGGAGAAATGTTGCAATGGTGCACAATGAAAACCTGTGACTTTGTCCAGCCAGGCTTGATCCACCTGCTGGCTTGTATGCAATTTTTAGGCATTTTGCCAAGGCACCTCTGAAGGCAGTAGGTCTAGTGAACTGTGATTGACCTAATCCTGTACT